GGATAATATGGTCTTGGAATTGTGCAAACAACCCAGGTTCCGTACTTGTCAAATCAAATCAAAACAAATGTTATTGGTCACATACACATATTTAGCAGATGTTATTGCGGATGTAGTGAAATGCTTGTGTTCCTAGCTCCAACAGTGCAGTAATATCTAACCACACACAACAATACACACATCTAAAAGTAAAATAATTAAGAAGTGTATACATTTTAGGACTAGCAATGTCGAGGTACAGAGTATAAATATATATATATATGTGTGTGTGTGTTCCCTAGTTTCCGGTGCCTTGGTCTGTGTGTGATATGGGATGTATAGACATTATGGACAGTATGTGGATAGAATATGTAGTATATCTGAAGAATATGTGAATAGAATAGTATATGTACAGCAATAGTTGTATAGGATGGACTTGACTAGAATACAGTATATACATATGAAATGGGTAAAACAGTATGTAGATATTATTAAAGTGACCAGTGTTCCGTTATTAAAGTGGCCAGTGTTCCATTATTAAAGTGACCAGTGTTCCATTATTAAAGTGACCAGTGTTCCGTTATTAAAGTGACCAGTGTTCCGTTATTAAAGTGACCAGTGTTGCATGTCTATGTACACTACATGATCAAATGTATGTGGACACCTGCTTGTCGAACCTCTCATTCCAAAATCATGAGCATTAATATGTAGTTGGTCCCCCTTTGCTGCTTTAACAGCCTCCACTCTTCTGGGAAGGCTTTCTACTAGATGTTGGAACATTGCTGTGGGGACATGCTTCCATTCAGCCACAAGAGCATTAGTGAGTTTGGGCACTGATGTTGGGCGATTAGGCCTGCCTCGCAGTCGGCGTTCCAATTCATCCCAAAGGTATTCGATGGGGTTGAGGTCAGGGCTCTGTGCAGGCCAGTCAAGTTCTACCACACCGATCTCGACAAACCATTTCTGTATGGACCTCGTTTTGTGTACGTGGGCATTGTCATGCTGAAACAGGAAAGGGCCTTCCCCAAACTGTTACCACAAAGTTGGAAGCACAGAATCGTCTAGAATGTCATTGTATGCTGTAGCATTAAGATTTCCCTTCACTGGAACTAAGGGGCCTAGCCCGAACCATGAAAAACAGCCCCATACCATTATTCCTCCTCCACCAAACTTTACAGTTGGCACTATGCATTGGGGCAAGTTGCGTTCTCCTGGCATCCGCCAAACCCAGATTAGTCCGTCGGACTGCCAGATGGTGAAGCATGATTCATCACTCCAGAGAACGCGTTTCCACTGCTCCAGATTCCAATGGCGGCGAGCTTTACACCACTCCAGCTGATGCTTGGCATTGCGCATATTGATCTTAGGCTTGTGTGTGGCTGCTTCGGCCGTGGAAACCCATTTCATGAAGCTCCCGACGAACTGTTCTTGTGCTGACGTTGCTTCCAGAGGCAGTTTAGAATGCAGTAGTGAGTGTTGCAACCGAGGACAGACAAATTTTACACGCTTCAGCACTCGGCGGTCCCGTTCTGTGAGCTTGTGTGGCCTACCACTTCGCGGCTGAGCCGTTGTTGTTCCTAGACGTTTCCACTTCACAATAACAACACTTACAGTTGACCGGGGCAGCTGTAGCAGGGCAGAAATTTGACAAACTGACTTGTTGGAAAGGTGGCATCCTATGAAGGTGCCACGTTGAAAGTCACTGAGCTCTTCAGTAAGGCCATTCTACTGCCTATGTTTGTCAATGGGGATTGCATGGCTGTGTGCCCTATTTTACACACCTGTCAGCAACGGGTGTGGCTGAAATGGACGAATCCACTAATTTGAAGGGGTGTCCACATACTTCTGTATATATAGTGTACATAAGGCAGCAGCCTCTAAGGTGCAGGGTTGAGTAACCAGGTAGTAGCCGGCTAGTGACTGTGACTAAGTTCAGGGCAGCGTACTGGGTGGAGGCCGGCTAGTGATGGCTATTTAACAGTCTGATGGCCTTGAGATAGAAGCTGTTTTTCAGTCTCTGTCCCAGCTTTGATGCACCTGTACTGACCTAACCTTCTGGATGATAGCGGGGTGAACAGGCCGTGGCTCGGGTGGCTGAGGTCCTTGATGATCTTCTTGGCCTTCCTGTGACATCGGGTCCTGTAGATGTCCTGGAGGGCAGGCAGTGTGCCCCCGGTGATGCGTTGGGCAGACCGCACCACCCTCTGGAGAGCCCTGCGGTTGCTGACGGTGCAGTTGCTGTACCAGGCGGTGATACAGCCCGACAGGATGCTCTCAATGGTGCATCTGTAAAAGTTTGTGAGGGTCTTGTGTGCCAAGACACATTTCTTCACCCTCCTGAGGTTGTAGAGGTGCTGTTGCGCCTTCTTCACCACACTGTCTGTGTTGGGGGAACATTTCAGAATGTCAGTGATGTGTACGCCGAGGAACTTGAAGCTTTTCACCTTCTTCACTGCGGCCCAGTTGATGTGGATGGGAGCGTGCTCCCTCTTCTGTCTCCTGAAGTCCACGATCAGCTCCTTTGTTTTGTTGACGTTGAGGGAAAGGTTATTTTCCTGGCACCACTCCGCCAGGGTACTCACCACCTCCCTGTAGGCTGTCTCGTCGTTGTTACTAATCAGTCTGTTGTGTCATCTGCAAGCTTGGTGATTGAGTTGGAGGCGTGCATGGCCATGCAGTCATGGGTGAACAGGGAGTACAGGTGGGGGCTGAGCACGCACTCTTGTGGGGCCCCTGTGTTGAGGACCAGCATAGTGGAGGTGTTGTTGCCTACCTTCACCACCTGGGAGCGGCCCGTCAGGAAGTCCAGGACCGAGTTGCACAGGGAGGGATTCAGACCCAGTGCCCCGAGCTTAATGATGAGCTTGGAGGGTACTATGGTGTTGAATGCTGAGCTATAGTCAATGAACAGCATTCTTACATAGGTATTCCTCTTGTCCCGATGGGATAGGGTAGTGCGATGGTGATTGCATCATCCGTGCATCTATTGGGGTGTTATGCAAATTGCAGTAGGTCAAGGGTGTTGGGTAATGATGTCAGATATGATAAGAGGACTGTATGTGTCAGACATGATAAGAGGACTGTATGTGTCAGACATGATAAGAGGACTGTATGTGTCAGACATGATAAGAGGACTGTATGTGTCAGACATGATAAGAGGACTCTGTATGTCAGACATGAAAAGAGGACTGTATGTGTCAGACATGAAAAGAGGACTCTGTATGTGTCAGACATGATAAGAGGACTGTATGTGTCAGACATGATAAGAGGACTCTGTATGTGTCAGACATGATAAGAGGACTCTGTATGTCAGACATGAAAAGAGGACTCTGTATGTGTCAGACATGATAAGAGGACTGTATGTGTCAGACATGATAAGAGGACTGTATGTGTCAGACATGATAAGAGGACTCTGTATGTGTCAGACATGAAAAGAGGACTCTGTATGTGTCAGACATGATAAGAGGACTGTATGTGTCAGACATGATAAGAGGACTGTATGTGTCAGACATGATAAGAGGACTCTGTATGTGTCAGACATGATAAGAGGACTGTATGTGTCAGACATGATAAGAGGACTGTATGTGTCAGACATGATAAGAGGACTGTATGTGTCAGACATGATAAGAGACTGTATGGTCAGACATGATAAGAGGACTGTATGTGTCCAGACATGATAAGAGGACTGTATGTGTCAGACATGATAAGAGGACTGTATGTGTCAGACATGATAGGGGTTCAATGAAAGGGACTGTATGTGTCAGACATGATAAGAGGACTCTGTATGTGTCAGACATGATAAGAGGACCTGTATGTGTCAGACATGATAAGAGGACTGTAGTGTCAGACATGATAAGAGGACTTGTATGTGTCAGACATGATAAGAGGACTCTGTATGTGTCAGACATGATAAGAGGACTCGTATGTGTCAGACATGATAAGAGGACTGTATGTGTCAGACATGATAAGAGGACTCTGTATGTGTCAGACATGATAAGAGGACTCTGTATGTGTCAGACATGATAAGAGGACTCTGTATGTGTCAGACATGATAAGAGGAACTCTGTAGGTGTCAGACATGATAAGAGGACTCTGTAGTGTCAGACATGATAAGAGGACTGTATGTGTCAGACATGATAAGAGGACTTGTATGTGTCAGACATGATAAGAGGACTCTGTATGTGTCAGACATGATAAGAGGACTGTATGTGTCAGACATGATAAGAGGACTGTATGTGTCAGACATGATAAGAGGACTCTGTATGTGTCAGACATGATAAGAGGACTGTATGTGTCAGACATGATAAGAGGACTGTATGTGTCAGACATGATAAGAGGACTGTATGTGTCAGACATGATAAGAGGACTGTATGTGTCAGACATGATAAGAGGACTGTATGTGTCAGACATGATAAGAGGACTCTGTATGTGTCAGACATGATAAGAGGACTGTATGTGTCAGACATGATAAGAGGACTGTATGTGTCAGACATGATAAGAGGACTCTGTATGTGTCAGACATGATAAGAGGACTCTGTATGTGTCAGACATGATAAGAGGACTGTATGTGTCAGACATGATAAGAGGACTCTGTATGTGTCAGACATGATAAGAGGACTGTATGTGTCAGACATGATAAGAGGACTGTATGTGTCAGACATGATAAGAGGACTGTATGTGTCAGACATGATAAGAGGACTCTGTATGTGTCAGACATGATAAGAGGACTGTATGTGTCAGACATGATAAGAGGACTCTGTATGTGTCAGACATGATAAGAGGACTCTGTATGTGTCAGACATGATAAGAGGACTCTGTATGTGTCAGACATGATAAGAGGACTGTATGTGTCAGACATGATAAGAGGACTGTATGTGTCAGACATGATAAGAGGACTGTATGTGTCAGACATGATAAGAGGACCCAGCTTTTTAGAGTTGATATCAGTCTGAAGTGTGGAGCTGAGACTCATGAGTGTTCTTGCTAGAACAAACTCTAAGGTTATTGTTGTGTGTGCGCAGGGTGGCTACATGGCTGCCAAGGTGTCCAAGCTGGATGAGCAGTTTAAGCTGGACGTCCCCAGAGAGAGGCAGAAAGATGGAGCCTGCTCCAGCATCTTCACTGGGGTGGCCATCTATGTCAACGGATACACAGGTGAGACACATGGGCGTTAACCTATACCCCACCCTTACCCCACTGATCCTAGCGTGATCCCTCATATGGCTACTAGACTACACTTTCTGTGCAATTTAACTTTAATGTTTGTGTGTGTACTACTAGATAATAGACATGGTTCATGTGGGGTTCAGTTCTTCGATTTGTTGGAAGTTTCACTTTCTACCTCTTTATTCTGTTTTTCCACATTGCTTTCCTCCTCCTTTCCATCTCTCCTTCCTGGCTTCCTCCTCCTTTCCATCTCTCATTTTATCCCAATCTCTTCTTCCATCTCTACTCTCCCATCATTTCTTTCTCCATCTTTCAATATTTTCCCTTTCCCCCTCTGATCTCCACTTCTCTTTTTTAAAATCACATTTCTGTCCTCTAACATGGAATCTCTCTTTTTTTGACCCACAGGAAAGATACATTGGATATGTAAATGATCTCAAAAAATATCACAGGGGGTACATGGAAATAATCTCTCTCTCTCTCTCTCTCTCTCTCTCTCTCTCTCTCTCTCTCTCTCTCTCTCTCTCTCTCTCTCTCTCTCTCTCTCTCTCTCTCTCTCTCTCTCTCTCTCTCTCTCTGTGTGTTTGCTTTAGTTAGGGTTGGTTAAATCACACTACTCTTTAATCTCTCGCTGTCTCTTCTCCTCCGTTGTGACCTCTGCTCTTAAAGAAGTAGATCTGTAAAACCAATATGGATATACATCATAAATATATGCCAGAAGACATGGCTGGATTCAATAATAATATGCCTGGGGTAGATATGTCTGTCCCTGTTTTTCCTCTCTCGCTTTTCACCTTGCCTGTGTGTGTGTGTGTGTGTGTGTGTGTGTGTGCGCAGAGCCACCGACCCATAGATTTACAATGAGTAGAATCAGGATTTCAGAGTTAGTTCTATTCATTCTAATTCTATTGCCAGAACCCAGTGCGGACGAGCTGCGCAGGCTGATGATGCTGCATGGGGGTCAGTTCCATGTGTACTACTCACGCTCTAAGACCACCCACATCATCACTACCAACCTGCCCAACAGTAAGATACAGGAGTTGATGGACCAGAAGGCGGTCCGGCCAGAGTGGATCACTGACAGGTGTGTGTGTGTGTTGTGTCTAAGTGTAGTGTAATCTACATGATACTTAGTGTTTGAACATACCTCTTTACCCTCCAACAGTATCAAGGCTGGCCATCTCCTGTCCTACCTGCAGTACCAGCTCTATGCCAAGCAGAAAGGCCTGAGCTTCCCCAGTGTGTGTGTTCACCAGGGCCAAGAGGCTGCAGGACCTATCCATGGGCACCTCCAACCCAGCCACAGCCTCGCTGTACCCAGCCTCAATAACCACAACCCAGCCCCTAGCCTTGGGTTGCCCCTATCCAGGCACCACACTCCCACATCCAGCCACAGTCATCTACACACAGACAATCTACACCCCCAACCCATCCAGTATAACCCCCTAGCTGGCCACCTCAGCCCCACACACTCTCTCCCCCTCCCCAGCCACCTCAACCCCCAGCCCAGCCACTCTCTCCCCCTCCCCAGCCACCTCAACCCCCAGCCCAGCCACTCTCTCCCCAGCCACCTCAACCCCCAGCCCAGCCACTCTCTCCCCCTCCCCAGCCACCTCAACCCCCAGCCCAGCCGCTCTCACCCCAGCCACCTCACTCCAGGACCCAGCCTCCTCAGACCCTTTTCCTCCAACCACCTTTACTCTGACCCAGGCCACATCACCCACCACATACCCATCCACGGGCAGCCCAAGTTAGGCTGCATCCAGCCTTCTCCTTCAGCCTACACCCACCCACAGACCCCCGGTCCCATCCCTGCAAACCCAAGCCAAGAGCACTTGAAACCTGGACAGGCACAACCTCCGTCCAGCCTCTACTTCTCCAGTCACCTCCAGAACAGCTACCGGGAGCTGGACTTGAGACTGTGAGTGTGTTTTAGGTGTATTTTGATATTTGTATATTGGTCCATGTTTGGGTATTCTCCTGGCATAATAACATACAAAAGTCAATACAGAAAGAACATTGGTTCCATGTTGTGATTCTTAATTCCCACTTCTCTCTCTGTCCTATAGGAATGGATCATTACTGACCTCTTATGACAAGACGGAGAGCGCCAAAATGAATGGTGTGCAAGAGGTGGGCGGTGAGGACCCCTGTCCTGTCAAAACTCCCAGAGGGGTGAAGGACCCCCCTCTGACCAACGGTCACGCCCATCCTGTGAATGTTGCCTTAAAGCCTCTGGTCCTCTCCCCTAACCTCACACGACCCACACCCAGTCCAGACAGGGGGTTACCCCACACTCCCCAATCCATACCCCCGCACCCTGACAACAAGTCCACAGGGGTGTCTGTGTACCTGCACCTCTCCAGCCCCCCATCCAAACCCCCTATCCAACATGACACCCCCAGACTTCCCCAAAGTCCTCCCAACACCCCCATCCCTCCCCCTGTCTCTCACCACAGACACCACGCACAACCGGCCAATGAACAGAGACGCAAGCCCCCTCCGCCCACCTATCAGGAGGCGACGGCTGCCTCGGCATCCCGTCCCCTGGATCTTCCACCTCCGAAGCCCTGTCAGTCAGATTCCCCTCCTGAGAAACCACTCCCCCCTGCCAACCCAAACCCCTCCCCTTCCACTGTCTGTCTGAATGGCAGACACCACAATGCCTTTACTTCTAACCCCACCCCTCTGGAAACCAACAGCCTATCAGTCAACCCCATTCCCTCAAACGACGCTCCTCCGCACCGCGACCAACAATCAGCAAAGGTGAAGACCGGGGGGATCATCTCAGAGTTTTACTCCCACTCTCGTCTACACCACATCTCCACATGGAGGAGTGAGTTCTCTGAATATGTCAACACGTTGCAGAGCAGGAGGAGGACCCCAGGAGGCACCACCTTCCCCGGGAGAGACAGGCTCAGACGCCAGAGGAGAGAGGGTAAGGAGGTGTAGGGTGGGTGTGTGTTTGGAAGGGATGGATTGGATGGTCTCTGTCCGATGGTATGTGAATTCAGAAAACTCAGGCCAGTAATGTCTGTCTCGCTCTCTCTCTCTCTCTCTGTCTCTGTCTCTCTCTCTCTCTCTCACACACACACTCCTCTCTTATCGCTCTCTCTCACACACACACACTCTTCTCTCTCCTCTCTTAAATGTCATAGGGAACATTCTGCATGTTGTTAATGTCATCAGGGTTTGTGTGAGTCTGAGTGTGACGTATTTTGCAGACCATGAATAGCTGTGTTTTTGTATTTGTATTTATTATGGATCCCCATTAGTTCCTGCCAAGGCAGCAGCTACTCTTCCTGGGGTCCAGCAAAATTAAGGCAGCCTTCAGAAAGTATTCATACCCCTTGACTTATTCCACATTTTGTTGTTACAGCCTGAATTCAAAATGGATTAAAAATAATAATAATAATCTAACCCAATACCCCATAATGACAGTGAAAACATGTTTTTAGAAATATGTGCAGATGTATTGAAAATGAAATACAGAAATATCTGATTTACATAAGTATTCACCCTGATTAACTCTTTAGTATTATCCCAGTTTACCTATTTGCTTATGGTCTTGCCTACGCCTAGCAAACAGTTTTTTAAATTATATGAGAAAAAAATATTCAATTTTATTTGGAACGGCAAGCCAGACAAAATTAAAAGAGCATATTTATATAATTAATATGAATTCGGAGGACAGAAATTATTAAATATTAAAGCATTAGACCTATCACTAAAATCTTCAGTCATCCAAAAGTTATACTTAAATCCGAACTGGTTCTCAAGCAAATTAGTAAGATTGTCTCACCCAATGTTCAAGAAAGGCCTTTTTCCCTTTATTCAGATTACAACCTCTCACTTTCAGTTATTTGAAAAGGAAATAATCTCCCAAATGTCACTATTTCTAAAACAAGACATAGAAAGTTGGTTGCAATTTCAATTTAATCCTCCAGAAACGACAGAACAAATAATGCAACAAATATTGTGGTTAAATTCAAATATACTAATTGACAAAAAACCTTTATTTTTTGACAGAATGTTTAAAAAAGGTATAATCTTCGTAAATGATATCATCGGTAGGACTGGTGGAGTTATGTCGCACATGCAGCTAACAAAAACATATGGAAATGTCTGCTCTACCCAAAATTACAACCAAATAATTGCAGCCTTACCGCAAAAGTGGAAGAGGAAAGTGGAAGGGGGAGAAAGTAAGGAACTTGTCTGTCGGCCTTGCATTAAAGAACATAATTGGTTAAGGAAAACTGTGATAAATAAAAAAGTATATCAGTTTCACTTAAGGACCAAAGGATTGACAGCCGTCCCATATAGATTGCAAAATAGTTGGGAAGAGATCTTTGACGTACCGATCCCATGGCATAGTGTTTATGAACTGACACGCAAAACGACACCGGATTCAAAAATTAGAATCTTTCAATTTAAATTATTATATAAAATTCTTGCTACCAATAGAATGTGATTTATATGGGGGATACAATCTTCCCAGCTCTGCAGATTTTGCTGTGAAGAGACAGAATCATTAGATCATTTGTTTTGGTTCTGTCCATTTGTAGCTTGTTTTTGGACACAGGTCCAGGAATGGCTAAAGGATTGCAATATTTACCTGGAACTAACCTTGCAGATAGCATTACTGGGTGATCTGAAAAGTCATAGTCAATCAATCAATAATATAATAATACTTTTAGCAAAAATGTTTATTTTTAATTCACAATCTGTAGAAGCAATGAGAATAGAAAGGTTCAGAACTTTTGTAAAACATCACAGTACGGTTGAAATATATATGGCAAATAGAAATCCTATATGGATGGTGTTAAGAGATAGATGGGAGGTATTGAATAGAGTTGAAGGATGGGACTAATAACAAATAACAACAAATAATAACAAAGATAGCTAATAATGTAAGCATACTGTGTCCATAATAAGTATATAGGTTGTATGTTGGGAGCTTTTGGGAAAGAGCACAGTTAGAAAGATATGGCATATAGAAGCAAACCGGTTGGACATCATGAAAATGATCGGAGAGGTTGAGAGTAGAAGAAGTTCAGGAGCAAAAAATAAATAAAATATATATATATATATATAATAGAATTATTGTAAAATTAACTCTGTCCATAAGGTGTAGATAGTAAGTATAGACCGGAAGTAGAGGCCTGGGCGTTGTTGTTCACTAATTTACTCCAAGTAGGGAAAGGATGGTGGGGTTGAAAAGTAATAAAGGGGAATATATATAAAAAATATATATATAAAAAAAAACATGGGGGATTGGAAGTGATGCAGACAATTACATTGATAGAAGATACAATCTATCTGCAATATTAAGCTGATCCATTCCCCCCCCCCCCCCAAAAAAAAAAAAAAGTATTCACACCCCTGAGTCAATACTTTGTAGAAGCACCTTTGGCGGCGATTACAGCTTTGAGTCGTCTTGGGTATGTCTGTATCAGCTTTGAACATCTGGATTTTGGGTTTTTCTCCCATTCTTCCTTGCAGATTTTCTCAAGCTCTGTTAAGTTGCAGTAGATGGGGAGCGGCGATGAACAGCAATCTTCAAGTCTTTCCACAAATATTCAATGGGATTCAAGTCTGGGCTTTGGCTGGGCCACTCAAGGACTTTCACATTCTTGTTCTGAAGCAATTCCAGTGTTGCTTTGGCTGTATGCTTGCGGTCATTGTCCTGTTGGAACATAAATCTTCACCCCAGTCTAAGGTTGTTTGCACTCTGAAGCAGGTTTTCATCAAGGATTTGCCTGTATTTGGCTCCATTCATTGTCCCCTCTATCCTTACCAGTCTCCCAGTCCCTGCCGCTGAAAAGCATCCCCATATCATGATGCTGCCACCACCAGACAGATGAGCTGTGCCTGGTTTTCTCCAGACATAGCGCTTTGCATTCAGGCCAAAGAGTTACATTTTTGTGTCATCAGACCACAGAATCTTTTGCCTTATGATCTCAGAGTCTTTCATGTGCCTTTTTGCTAACCCCATGCATGCTGTCATGTGCTTTTTTCTCTGGCCACTCTCCCATAAAGCCCAGATTGGTGAAGTGCTGTAGGTCCTTCTGGCAGGTTCTCCCATCTCAGCCAAGTTCTGTCAGAGTGGTCATTGGGTTCTTGGTCACCTCTCTGACCAAGGTACTTCTTGCCCGGTTACTCAGTTTTGGTTGGATGGCCAGCTCTAGTCTGGGTAGTTGCATATTTTTTCTGTTTCCCAATGATGGAGACCACTGTGCTCTTGGAAACTTTCAACACTCTAGAAGTTGTTTTATACCCTTCCCCAGATATATGCCTCATCACAAGTCTAACTCGGAGATCTACGGACAGTTCCTTGGACTTCATGGTATAGTTTCTGCTCTGACATGCACTGTCAACTGTGGGACCTTATATTGATGCACCTGAGCTCAATTTGGAGTGTCATAGCAAAGGGTGAATACTTATGTAAATGAGATATTGCTGTATTTCATTTTCATACATTTACATAAAAAATTCTAAAAACATGTTTTCACTTTGTGATTATGGGGTGTGAGAAAAAAATCAATCAGGTGAGAAAAAAATCTATTTAATCAATTTTGAATTCAGGCTGTAACACAACAGAATGGAATAAATCAAGGGTAGGAATACTTTCTGAAATAATAATAAATAATAATATGCCATTTAGCAGACGCTTTTATCCAAAGCGACTTACAGTCATGCGTGCATACATTTTTGTGTATGGGTGGTCCCGGGGATCGAACCCACTACCTTGGCGTTACAAGCGCCGTGCTCTACCAGCTGAGCTACAGAGGACCACGGTAGCTCACTGAAAGCACTGTAGGTCACTTCTGTCTGTTTCTTATTCTGTGTATGTTACCTGTCTGTCTGTCTCCTGGTCTGTCTGTCTGTCCACCAGGTTCGGCAGCTGCTCCTGGCCCTCAGTCCTGTATCCTGCATGTGGACATGGACTGTTTCTTTGTCTCCGTGGGGATTATACACCGACCAGACCTCAAAGGTATACACGCACATACACACGACCAGACCTCAAAGGTATACACGCACATACACACGACCAGACCTCAAAGGTATACACGCACATACACCGACCAGACCTCAAAGGTATACACGCTCATACACCGACCAGACCTCAAAGGTATACACGCACGCACAAACTCAAGTATTTGTATCATATTTGCTATTCTAGTCCTAAATGCCCACTAACCACAACTCTCCTCATCTCCCCCCAGGGAAGACTGTAGCGGTGACCAGTAACCGTGGTCCAGGCAGAGTGGTCCAGAGGCCTGGTGTTGACCGCCAGCCGGAGCTGCAGTACTACCAGAACAAATACTCCTATCCAGCTGTGTCAGAGAGGAAATATGGGGACCTGGAGGAAATGACATCATCAGAGACGGAGAGTCACATCTCCCACGGCAACAGTGTTGACCAGGATACTGCTGCCCTCTCGATGGCTGAGATCGCCTCCTGTAGCTATGAGGCCAGGTACAACACATATACACACACACACACACACATGCACGCACGCACACCCTCTACCCTATAGTAATATGTGGTCTCTCTTTCTGTCTCTCAGGCAGGCAGGGGTGAGGAACGGGATGTTTTTTGGCCAGGCCAAGCAGCTGTGTCCCTCCCTGCAGTCTGTCCCTTATGACTTCCAGGCCTACAAGGAGGTGGCCCTGGCCATGTACGAGACCCTCGCCAGGTACGGGTGGAGGGATGGATGAACAGACCATGACAATTGGTTACTTGGTAGGATTGTAGCACAACCTCATCTGATGGACAACAAATTCATTTAACTTTCTCTTTATTTTCTCCTCCTCACCCTCTCCGCCTCTCTCTCTCTCTCTCTCTCTCTCTCTCTCTCTCTCTGTAGTTATTCTCACGACATCGAGGCCCTGAGTTGTGATGAGGCGTTGGTGGATAGCTCCGCCCTGCTGGCTGAGTTGAGTGTTACACCAGACGAGCTGGCCAGTGCCATCCGGGCAGACGTCAGGGAGAGGACTGGGTGCTCCGCCTCAGTGGGCATGGGTGAGTAGTTCCACGCCTTCCTCTGCCACCCCTGAGTCACATACTGGACACCCCCCGTAGACTCTGGGGGCCCATACGCCTGTCATCAATGTCCATTTTTTTTTACATTTAATAAATCATTTTGTCAGTAACCCTCCAAAAAGTTTTTCATAAACCTTTTTAATTTCCATATGTACTAGGAAGCTAAGTGTTTGTTTCTTGGTCATCAAGGAATGTAACTGTAATGTGCCTCAGGCCTTGAAAAAGAAAACGTTTAACTGATTGAAAGTATAAGGGGATATCAGTGGTCAAGGCAACGACAGCGCCTGAGCAATGAGTGGAGCTGACTTGGGTGTTCAAAAGCGCATCAGACCGAGAGCCTAATGCTTCTTAGATAATAATTAATGATTTTCTGTTTAGAAAACAATTTCTCCTCAGAAGCGACAGTTTCAGGGATGGTAAAAACAGCTTGATTGCCGTAGCCACATCAGGGAAACTGGACAGGAGGGAGTGGTGCTTCAAATACAGCAGTTCTGCAACATCTTTAATTGAGCCTCTCATTCTCCTTAATTGCCGGCCTCAACGGAAAGAGGTTAACTGTATAGGAATCTCTGGGGACAGGTCGTCTGGATATTGGACAGACAATACATTGGCAAATGCAAACATCTTTAGCGGACAACAGTTGAGGGCTTGAACAAAAAAAAGCGGTTTGCGATTTCGTTCATACTGGTGAACCGGCGTTTGAGTTGTGTGGTTGCAATATCAACAGTCCCTTATCTCTGGTATATCTTGGCATGCATCATTCAAGACTAAGTTTAAATTGTTTGCAACGCAATGGACATGTAATGCACAATGTCTCAGGAAAGACCGTCTGGGTTGGCAATACTCAGTATAGGAAACCAGAGAAAGTGAAAGTGCTTTATGCTAGTGACAGGGATGAAGCATTTGGAAACGGATGGGCAGCATAGTTTCCCTCCCACTGTAACACACCCTGTCTAACCTCTGTGACCTCTCACTTCTGACCTGTCCAGGGTCCAACATCCTGTTGGCGAGGATGGCTACCCGAAAGGCTAAGCCCAACGGACAGTACCTCCTGAGGTCAGAGGAAGTGGATGACTTCATCAGGGACCAGACAGTGACCAGCCTACCAGGTGAGGCATTACAGCACCACCTGCTGGCCACACGCCACACACACAGTTACTCTGCAACTGATGATCATCTTTCTTGTGCATCTCCAAAATATAAACTGTCCTTCTCTACACCCTCCATCTCTCCCTCTCCACCCATTCCTCTATTTCTCTCCCCTCTTCTCCCTTAGGTGTGGGCCGTTCTATGGGTGGTAAGCTGGCATCTCTGGGTGTGAGGTCTTGTGGGGACCTGCAGCAGGTGTCTCTGCAGCAGCTACAGAAGGAGTTTGGCCCGCGCACCGGTCAGACCCTCTTCAGGTTCTGCCGAGGTCTGGACGACCGGCCCGTCCGCAGCGAGAAGGAGAGGAAGTCTGTCTCGGCCGAGATGAACTATAACATCCGCTTCACACAGGTCCGTATCTGTTTAATCCTGTTTCCACGGGTTAGAGCTTGTTTGATCTGGTCCACGCAGGTCATAACTGGTTTATACTGGTCAGAACTGGGGCTTATTCAATGAGGCAGAATATTCCGATTGTTCAGAATGGAATATTTCCTGTAGAACAGACATTCTTCTTTGCCTGTTCAAGGTGACAGGCTTTTCTATCACTTTCTCCATTCTCTCGTTCTCAAAACTCTCAAAATTCTCTCCATCTCACCAGGTGGACGAGGTGGAGTCGTTCCTGACCAACCTGGCCATGGAGGTGCAGAAGCGTCTGCAGGGGGCGGGGCTTAGGGGTCGCAGGGTGACCCTGAAAGTCATGGTCCGTAAGGCAGGGGCCCCGGTGGAGCCATCCAAGTACGGTGGTCATGGCATCTGTGACAATCTGGCCAGGTTAGAGAGACAAATGGACACAGTAGCCGTGTCCGAATACCCATAAATAATAGGCTTTTTTTATGGTATGTGAAATTTAGAAAATGTAGTATGCTTTAAATGCCAGGATGTCGTACTCATTTTGGCTTTTCATCTAGTAGATTTAGCTGCACACTATTGAGGAAGAGAATCGCCTTTTCACACTCTACATAAATAAACATTAGAGAGAGGCATTCTCAGCATGGATTAGCCTAGTATGTTATTTGTTGCTTACTGCATTCGTTTTTAAAATAAAAAAAATAGTTTGTAGTACAATTAGTACACAGTATGTGGTTTTAGTAAATAGTAGGCAAGACAGATTTCGGACATGGTCAGGAACACACTGCGGGGACATAATTGAGTGTGTGTTCCTCTCCTCTTCTCCTCACTGTCTCCTCTACCCTCCTCTCTCAGGTCAGTGACCCTGGCACAGCTTACAGACAGTGGTCATCTGATAGCCAGTGAGGTCATCAAGCTGTTCCACACAATGAGGCTGGAGGTGCAGGACCTGAGGGGGGTGGGCCTCCAGGTGCAGCTCCTTGAGGGGGCCCGCTCCACCCCCCAGGACCCCTCGGGCCCTAGAACGCGCTCCGTCAGAGACATGCTGCTGGCTGAGTGCCCCCCTGCCCAACATAACCACACAGGTGGGTGTGTGGTTGTGTGTGTGTGTGTGTGTTACCTTAAGGAGCCAGTCATCGAGCCATAGACCGACCTCTACTCTCTCTCTCTTCAGATTCGCTACTTAATACCCCCATTACTGACACATGCATCAGTCAAGAAAATAGTTCTTCTGCCAGAGTCCTGCCCTCCTTCTCCACTCCCTGCCCTACATCGCCTGCTGAGCCAATCCCAGGGACGAGTAAAGGAGAGCCGCCACCCACTACACACACACCTAACCATGTTGGTACACGCCTAAGCCTCAGCATCGAGGTCCCCCCTCCCTCCCAGGTACTTCACCCCTAGTTCAACAGTGCATTGCTTTCATTGAAAAAACATTTGTTTTTGAAGCATCATTTCAAATCAAATCAAATTGTATTTGTCACGTGCGCCGAATACAACAGGTGTAGACCTTACCGTGAAAAACGTACTTACAAGCCCTTAACCAACAATGAAGTTAAGAAAATATTTACTAAATAAACTAGTAAGTAAAAAGTAAAATAAAAAGTAACACAATAAAATAACAATAACGAGGCTATATGCAGGGGGTACTGGTACCGAGTCAATGTGCGGGGGTACAGGTTAGTCGAGGTAATTTGTACATGTAGGTAGGGGTAAAGTGACTATGCATAGATAATAAACAGTAAGTAGCAGCAGTGTAAAAATAAAGGGGGGGGGGGGGGGGGGTCAATGCAAATAGTCCGGGTGGCCATTTGATTAATTGTTCAGCAGTGTTATGGCTTGGGGGTAGAAGCTGTTAAGGAGTCTTTTCGGCAGTTTAAAAGCGCCCTCACTCATAGGTTTCCCAAGAGTAATTTTGTGTGTGTGCCGTGTGTGTGTGTGCCATGTGTGTGTGCCATGTGTGTGTCCGTGTGTGTGTCTGTGTCCATGTCAGGTGGACCGGTCAGTGTTGGAGGCCTTGCCTGCAGAGTTGAGAGAACAGGTGGAGCGCTCCTGGACCCACAGAGACACAGAGAGAACCCACAACAGGTCACACCACCACCCCCTTAGCCCCTCTTCTCCTCTCTCTCCCCGTTCATCTTCCCCTCTACCCTCCTCTCCTCCTCCCCCCGCTGCCCCTCCTGTAGGAACACTGGTGCTTCAGATCCCCAACCAGCCTGGACAGACCGGCTCCACAGGCATCATACTGGAACTGCCTGACTTCTCCCAGGTACACACACACACCTGTAAACCTTCTCATTAACGCCAACACCCCTTATAAACACACACATATTCTCTCTCTCTGTCTCTCTGTGTGTGTAGGTTGACCCAGAGGTGTTTGCAGCACTCCCCAGAGAGCTCCAAGAGGAGCTGCATTCAGCGTACGGCCGCAGAGAGAACGCCCAGGCCCAGGGAATCATGGGTAAGACTGCAGACCAAAGTACATTTACATTTACATTTTTCGTCATTTAGCAGACGCTCTTATCCAGAGCGACTTACAATTTGGTGCATTCACCTTATAGCCAGTGGGACAACCACTTTACAATGTTAATTTTTATTTTATTTTTATAAATATTTAGTATAAATTTTTTATTTTCTTTAATATTTTTTTGAAATGTTATGTAGTTTAATATTTTTGAAATATACTGTAGTGCAGAATACAGTATATATATCTAATAATATACACTGAGTTTACCAAACATTAGGAACACCTTCCTAATATTGAGTTGCACCCCCCCTCTTTGCCATCAGAACAGCCTCAATTCATCGGGGCATGAACTCTACAAGGTGTCTAAAGTGTGCCAAAGGGATGCTGGTCCATGTTGATTCCAATGCTTCCCACAGTTGTGTCAAGTTGGCTGGTTATCCTTTGGGTGGTGGACCATTCTTGATACACACAGGAAACTGTTGAGCGTGAAAAACCCAGCAGCATTGCAGTTCTTGACACTCTCAAACCAGGCGCTTGGCACCTACTACCATACCCCATTCAAAGGCACTTAAATATTTTGTCTTGTCCATTCACCCTCTGAATGGCACACATACACAATACATGTCTTGATTGTTTCAAGGCTTAAAAATCCTTCTTTAACCTGTCTCCTCCCCTTCATCTACACTGATTTGAAGTGGATTTAACAAGTGACATCAATAAGGGATCATAGCTTTCACCTGGATTCACCAGTCAGTCTATGTCATGGAAAGAGCAGGTGTTCTTAATGTTTTGTACACTCAGTGTATAATAATAATATAGTGTATAATAATAATATAATATACAATATATATGCCATTTAGCAATACACTGGAAAGAACCATAGAACCGACTAATGATCAAATTAAACTTTCATTGCATTACCCCCTTCTCTCTCTTTCCTTCTCTACCTTTCACTCCTTCCCTCGCCTCGCTTGTCCCCTCTCCTCTCACCCCTCCCCCCTCTCTTTCTCTGTAGCAGATCAGAGGAACCCCCTGTTGCATCTGAAGCAGGTGGGGGTGGGTCGGATGAAGCGCCGCTACAAGAAGAATGCCAACGCCAGCCCTGCCAAGAAAGGCCCCTCCCCTCTAAAGAGGCCCCGCCCACCAGGAAACAGCCCGGCCAAAGCCCTACCGCACGCACTCAGATCCAGGGACGTACCCAATGGCCTCAAGGTGAGCCCCTAAGCACTTATCCAAGGTCAGTTTTGCGTTTTCTGTTTTATTAATGATGCATAGTGATTGAACTGACCTGAACTGACCCCCATCCAGCTGGAGAATGGACCTTCCACCTCCTCCCTAAAGCAGGACGACCCAGAGACTCTGTCCAAGTTCACCCCTCGCCCTGAACCCACCCTGGCTGGAGCCTGTGATTTTACAGACATCCGAACACTCCTCAGAGAATGGGTCACTACCATCTCAGGTACAGAATGGGGAGTGGGTCGGTCACTACCATCTATGGAAAAGGGGGGACATTTGCTGTCATAGTAGTTGTGTTTTTGACTGTGTTGAAGATGTGGTTTTGTGTAAAAAAACAAAACGTTTTTATAAGTCCTTTTACCCCCTCAGACCCCATGGAGGAGGACATTCTGCAGGTAGTCAAGTACTGCACTGATCTGATCGACGACAAAGACCTAGAGAAACTTGACCTGATCATCAAGTATATGAAGAGGTACGGTCCATTCATGGTCTAACTCTCCCCTCTTCCCCTCTGTATCACAGTGAAGTACCACTCGGCCATGGTCAAATAGGACCTGTTTGGGGTTAGCGGATCATTCTACCCCTGTTGTTGAGATTCCATTTTAGTTCATGTTTTTCTCTTTTGTTCCCATGTGTGTTTAGTTTATTAGATATCCAAGCGTGTTAGGGCTAAGGCATGTCTTCTCATGTCATGGCAGGTTGATGCAGCAGTCTGTGGAGTCTGTATGGAGCATGGCCTTTGACTTCATCCTGGACAACGTGCAGATGGTGGTACAGCAGACTTACGGCAGCACACTGAAGATCACATAGGAGAGGGCACCACTCTGAAGATCACATAGGAGAGGGCAACACTCTGAAGATCACATAGGAGAGGGCAGCACTCTGAAGATCACATAGGAGAGGGCAGCACTCTGAAGTTCACATAGGAGAGGGCCCACCCCTGAAGATCACGTAGGAGAGGGACACTCTGAAGATCACATAGGAGAGGGCAGCACTCTGAAGTTCACATAGGAGAGGGCACCACTCTGAAGATCACGTAGGAGAGGGCAGCACTCTGAAGATCACATAGGAGAGGGCAGCACTCTGAAGATCATAAGAGAGGGCAGCACTCTGAAGTTCACATAGGAGAGGGCAGCACTCTGAAGATCATAGGAGAGGGCAGCACTCTGAAGATCACGTAGGAGAGGGCACCACTCTGAAGATCACATAGGAGAGGGCACACTCTGAAGATCATAAGGAGAGGGCAGCACTCTGAAGTTCACATAGAAGGGCAGACCTGAAGTCAAGAGAGGGCAGCACTCTGAAAATCACGTAGGAGAGGGCACCACTCTGAAGATCACATAGGAGAGGGCACCACTCTGAAGATCACATAAGAGAGGGCACCACTCTGAAGATCACGTAGGAGAGGGCACCACTCTGAAGATCACGTAGGAGAGGGCACCACTCTGAAGATCACGTAGGAGAGGGCAGCACTCTGAAGATCATAGGAGAGGGCACCACTCTGAAGATCACATAGGAGAGGGCACCACTCTGAAGATCACGTAGGAGAGGGCAGCACTCTGAAGATCACGTAGGAGAGGGCACCACTCTGAAGATCACATAGGAGAGGGCACCACACTGAAGATCACATAGGAGAGGGCAGCACTCTGAAGATCACATAGGAGAGGGCAGCACTCTGAAGATCACGTAGGAGAGGGCAGCACTCTGAAGATCACGTAGGAGAGGGCAGCACTCTGAAGATCACGTAGGAGAGGGCAGCACTCTGAAGATCACGTAGGAGAGGGCAGCACTCTGAAGATCACGTAGGAGAGGGCAGCACTCTGAAGATCACGTAGGAGAGGGCAGCACTCTGAAGATCACGTAGGAGAGGGCAGCACTCTGAAGATCACGTAGGAGAGGGCAGCACTCTGAAGATCACGTAGGAGAGGGCAGCACTCTGAAGATCACATAGGAGAGGGCAGCACTCTGAAGATCACATAGGAGAGGGCACCACTCTGAAGATCACATAGGAGAGGGCACCACTCTGAAGATCACATAGGAGAGGGCACCACTCTGAAGATCACATAGGAGAGGGCAGCACTCTGAAGATCACATAGGAGAGGGCACGGCAGGTTCTGGCCAAGTCTCAAATCACACCCTTTTCCCCATATAGTGCACTGGTTAAAGGTATTGCACTAGTATGTGGAGGATAGGATGCCATTTGAGATCCAGTTTTGCTCCTCCTGCTCCTGTGTTTGTTGTGCCACTGTTACATCATCAGACTATTACATCATGATCCTGTGGGAGGAGCTGTGTCAAATCATGATGTCCGTGATCTTCAACACGGAAAGTCGGAGTTCTAGAAAGATGCCAGAGACTCTGACTTGGAATTTTGAGTTGGATGACCTTTCTAAACTATTTTTCCCAGTTCCCAGGTGTCTTGAACGCACTGAAGTCGGAAGTCAGAGTTCCGAGTTCCCAGTTGTTTTGAACGCGGCTATAACCTGGACACGTGTTCTCTCCTTGCGTCATCACAGTGAGAGTTCTGTGGCATTGTAACATCAGCCCAACAGCTCTCTCTATCTCTCACTTTGACATCAGCAGAGCCTGACCTGCCTTCTGTTGTGACGTCAGAACACACGTCAGCAGAACAGAGCACAGATATCATCTGCACTACACTTTAGCAGCCTGAAACTCTAACTTGACCCATCACACAATGTCCAACTTTCCATGGGTCGGAGGGGGAGGGGCAGGAATCCTCCTCCTTTAGCCCCTATTGGTCAGGACCCACTGAAAGTCATGAGTAACGGCGGAGTTGGCCACTAGATCTGCGAATATGCCAATCGTCACAGTATAGGACAGACTGATGCTTAGAGATGGTGGCCATGGAATCTCCTTACCGCCTCCACTGTATTCTTCCTCCTTGTGCTTTGACATGCAGGGTTTGGAAGCAGAAAACAGAGACCTCCTCCAGTCTTCCTGATTCTGTTTCTTTTTACTCTCTCTGCTTTTCACCAGTTGTTCTGTTACTCTAAGCCCTGTCACCTTGGCCTCAGAAGTATCTGCAAACTGACACGGTAGCAAAAAGATGCAAAAACACCCTGTTTTGTAGATTGTCTTTGGTTTGTTTTTTAAAATGCAAGCAATTTCTTGTCCTTTTCCTCTGCAAAGAAAAGTGCCAAACCTTGTTGTTATAGCATGTAAATAGTGTTTTCAACGCCTCTGTCACGCTCGTCTAATGAGGGAGACCAAGGCGCAGCGTTGCGAGTGAACATATTCTATTTATTAAATGCTCACACGAACAAAACAATAAACAACGAATGCGTGACGTCTATGGTACAACACGAACACACACGAACAAAATCCCACAACCCGAAAGAAAAACAGACAGATTAAATATGGCTCCCAATCAGAGACAACCAGCCGACAGCTGACACTCGTTGCCTCTGATTGGGAGTCACACCGGCAAACATAGAAAATAGACAACCTAGAACACCCACCAAAGAAACAGAAAACATAGAATGAACACACCCTGGCTCAACATAATGAGTCCCCGAGCCAGGGTGTGACAGTACCCCCCCCTAAAGGCGCGGACTGCGACCGCGCCTAAATACGAGCAAAAACAGGGGAGGGCTGGGTGGGCATTCCTCCTCGGCGGCGGCTCCGGCTCCGGGCTTGATCCCCACTTCCTCTCCAACCCCCCAAAGTACCCCTGGTCCTGTCTAGCCCCGCTGGCCGGAGCCGGACTGACGACACGCGCCCCTGGCTTGGTGCGTGGAACAGGAACGGACCGGACTGGGCTGACGATACACACCCCTGGCTTGGTGCGTGGAGCAGGAATGGACCGGAATGGGCTGGCGACGCGCACCACAGACTTGGTGCGGAGAGCAGGAACGAGCCGGACAGGGCTGACGAAACGCACCACAGACTTGGTGCGGGGAGCAGGAACAGGCCGGGCTGGGCTGGCGACGCGCACCACAGGTTTGGTGCGGGGAGCAGGAACAGGCCGGGCCGGGCTGGCGACGCGCACCACAGACTTGGTGCGGAGAGCAGGAACGGGCCGGACCGGGCTGGCGACGCGCACCACAGGTTTGGTGCGGGGAGCAGGAACAGGCCGGGCCGGGCTGGCAACGCGCACCACAGACTTGGTGCGGAGAGCAGGAACGGGCCGGACCGGGCTGGCGACGCGCACCACAGGTTTGGTGCAGGAACAGGCCGGGCCGGGCTGGCGACGCGCACCATAGGCTCGGTGCGGGAAGCAGGAACAGGCCGGACCGTACTGGGGACACACACCACTGGCCCTACGCAGGGATCAGGAACGGGCCGGACCGGACTGGTAACACACCCCAGTACCTCTCGCCGTGCCTCCACACTTTCCCTCTCCTCTGTGACCAGTGGCCCCCTTAACCTGGCGGCCTCCTCTTCACACCCGCTGGACCGCTCCCTCGCGGCCTCCTGCTGCCCCGTCGTCCACGTCGTGAGCCCCCCCCTAAAAAATTTCTGGGGGTCTCTCCTCCCCGTGGGCCAGGCCTCCATCGTTCTCGCCCACCTCTCGCTCCTCTGTCTCCAACCCTCGTCACTCAGCTCCTCAATGGGCTTGACCCAGTCGAAGCTCTTGATCCATTGCTCCATAGACCAGCCTCTCTTCTCTTCACTTAGCGGGGCCCAGCCGAAACTCCTACTCCACTGATCCCAGGTCCTTCCTCTCTCCTCCTCACGCTGCTTGGTCTGGTCCTGGTGGGATTTTCTGTCACGCTCGTCTAATGAGGGAGACCAAGGCACAGCGTTGCGAGTGAACATATTCTATTTATTAAATGCTCACACGAACAAAACAATAAACAACGAATGCGTGACGTCTATGGTACAACACGAACACACACGAACAAAATCCCACAACCCGAAAGAAAAAGACAGATTAAATATGGCTCCCAATCAGAGACAACCAGCCGACAGCTGACACTCGTTGCCTCTGATTGGGAGTCACACCGGCAAACATAGAAAATAGACAACCTAGAACACCCACCAAAGAAACAGAAAACATAGAATGAACACACCCTGGCTCAACATAATGAGTCCCCGAGCCAGGGTGTGACAGCCTCCTCTTAAGTTTAGAAAGAAAAGGTGTGTTTTTTTATATACACTACCGTTCAAAAGTTTTAGAACACCTACTCATTCAAGGGTTTTTCTTTATTTCTACTATTTTCTACATTGTAGAATAATAGTGAAGACATCAAAACTATGAAATCACACATGGAATCATGTAGTAACCAAAAAAGTGTTAAACAAATCAAAATATATTGTATATTTGAGATTCTTCAAATAGCCACCTTTAGCCTTGATTACAGCTTTGCACACTCTTGGCATTCTCTCAACCAGCTGGAATGCATTTAAATTAACAGGTGTGCCTTGTTAAAAGTTAATTTGTGGTTTGAGACAATCAGTTGTGTTGTGACAAGGTAGGGGTGTATACAGAAGATAGCCCTATTTGGTATAAGACCAAGTCCATATTATGGCAAGAACAGCTCAAATAAGCAAAGAGAACCTACAGTCCATCATTACTTTAAGACATGAAGGTCAGTCAATACGGAACATTTCAAGAACTTTGAAAGTTTCTTCAAGTGCAGTCGCAAAAACCATCAAGCGCTATGATGAAACTGGCTCTCATGAGGACCGCGACTGGAATGGAAGACCCAGAGTTACCTCTGCTGCAGAGAATAAGTTCATTAGAGTTACCAGCCTCAGAAATTGCAGCCCAAATAAATGCTTCACAGAGTTCAAGTAACAGACACATCTCAACATCAACTGTTCAGAGGAGACTGTGTGAATCAGGCCTTCATGGTCAAATTGCTGCAAAGAAACCACTACTAAAGGACACCAATAAGAAGAAGAGACTTGCTTGAGCCAAGAAACACGAGCAATGGACATTAGACCGGTGAGAATGTGTCCTTTGGTCTGGAGTCCAAATTGGAGATTTTTGGTTCCAACCGCCGTGTCTTTGTGAGACACGGTGTGGGTGAACAGATGATCTCTGCATGTGTATTTCCCACCGTGAAGCATGGAGGAGGAGGTGTTATGGTGTCGGGGGTGCTTTGCTGGTGACACTGTCTGTGATTTATTTAGAATTCAAGGCACATTTATCCAGCATGGCTACCACAGCATTCTGCAGCGATACACCATCCCATCTGGTTTGGGCTTAGTGGGACTATCATTTGTTTTTCAACAGGACAATGACCCAACACACCTCCAGGCTGTGTAAGGGCTATTTGACCAAGAAGGAGAGTGATGGAGTGCTGCATCAGATGACCTGGCCTCCACAATCCCCCGACCTCAACCAAATTGAGATGGTTTGGGATGAGTCGGACCGCAGAGTTAAGGAAAATCAGCCAACAAGTGCTCAGCATATGTGGGAACTCCTTCAAGACTGTTGGAAAAGCATTCCAGGTGAAGCTGGTTGAGAGAAGGCCAAGAGTGTGCAAAGCTGTCATCAAAGCAAAGGGTGGCTATTTGAAGAATCTAAAATATAAAATATTTTGATTTGTTTAACACTTTTTTGGTTACTACATGATTCCATGTGTGTTATTTCATAGTTTTGATGTCTTCACTATTATTCTACAATGTAGAAAATAGTAAAAATAAAGAAAAACCCTTCAATGAGTAGGTGTTCTAAAACTTTTGACCGGTGTATACATGTTTTATTTTTTTCTTGTATTGTTTACAAGTAGTTTGTTATTAACGGTTAGTTTTCATGTGTGTGCGTGCGCGCCGGCATGGATCCAGAAGCTGGCCAAATCCCTTACGTTAATATTTTTATGCAACATCTATTTGGTTAAGACATGGAATCTCAATGGTCTGAAGTGTCTTCCTGTCCTTCAACTACACTGATTAGAAAATATTAGAGACAGCAATACCATATGGCTTTGGATTGCTACTACGTAACAAGTGCACATTGATGAAAGGAGTTGAGGAAGCTATTTCAGACTATTGTGATGCACCCAGACTCTCCTGTCAATGCTTTCTGTGACATCACATAAAATGTTAATACTCTCTTGTGACCTCACAACAATGTCACACCTATTTCTCACATCTATATTTGTTGCAACCAAAAAAAAAAGACAACTGACAGTTCTCTCATTGTGACATACGCAGAGTGGGATTGAAATGGTTCCTAATATACCTGATCCATGATCATATAACAGTTAGTATACTGGTGAAATGAATGTAGTTGTAAACACGGGAGACAGACAGACAACCCTTGATTCTGAGTTCATTACATTCAAATGTGTATGCTGTGGTCGCTAAGTGACTGTAAAATACTTTTCCTGTCATCTGCCATAACTCTTCGAAAGGTAAGGGCCAGAATAAAATATCGAATTGGTCAGTGTACCTGTCTATGGTGACTGACCAGTGCCTGAAGACCTGAAGCTGTGACATCATTTGTATGTTTTCTAAGAACTTTATAATAAACTTGGAACTAATGAAAGTCTTGACCAAATCAAATCACATTTTATAGGTCACATACACATATTTAGCAGATGTTACTGCGGGTGTAGCGAAATGCTTGTGTTCCTAGCTCCAACAGTGCAGTATATCTAACAATTCACAACAAGCAATGTCGGAGTGGCAATGACAAAAATACAGTATATACAGTACATATGAAATGAGTAAAACAGTATGTAACATTATTAAAGTGACTTGTGTTCCATTATTAAAGTGGCCAGTGATTCCATGTCTATATACATAAGGCAGCAGGGTTGAGTAACCGGTTGGTAGCCGGCTAGTGATGGCTATTTAACAGTCTGATGGCCTTGAGATAGAAGCTGTTTTTCAGTCTCTCGGTCCCAGCTTTGATGCACCTTTACTGACTTTGCCTTCTGGATGATAGCGGGGTGAACAGGTCGTAGCTCGGGTGGTTGATGTCTTTGATGATCTTTTTGGCCTTCCTGTGACATCGGGTGCTGTAGGTGTCCACCAGTGTGCCCCTGGTGATGCGTTGGGAAGACCGCACCACCACCTGGAGAGCCCTGTGGTTGCGGGCGGTTACAGCCCGACAGGATGCTCTCAATTTTACATCTGTAAAAGTT